GCTCTTCCAATTCCTCAGACCACCATTCCGGATTTTGTTTACATCGATATTCTTGATGTCCTAAAGCTTCTTCGGCTGCTTGATGTATAGAGTCTTTAATGGTTTTATATAACTCTTCGGTATTAATTTGTTCCATTTGTATATTTTGTAATTTTGAAGCCAGTCTAAGTTTATAAAGAAATTGTACTGATTCATGTCTGAGACTATCCAAGTTGTAATTAACCGAATCTACCTTTCCTTGGTTGCCCTTGTGCTCTTCTCTCTCCTTTTGTGAGCTCCTGTAATTAATTACCACTTTGGCCATCAACAGATAATGGTCAGAACCGTACTCTATGCCACGATATACCCTAACGTCATTGGTTTTTAAAATTGAATTTTGTCGCAGGATCATATAGTCAATTATAGAGCTAAGCCTTCTTGTTCTTTGGACCCATGTAAACTTGTGTACCTCTTTATGTGGGAAGAATCCGTTCATGATCTTTAATGTTAAACTTTCACACATGTTGATAATTCGCTGACCATTATCATTAACTGGTTGTTCCCCATGTTGTCCTACGACTAGATCATTTTGTTTTTGACCAACTCTGCCGTTAAGGTCACCCAGTATACAAATTTCCTTCCTGTCGTTTATATTAAGTATTGTATTTAGTAGCTTATCATAGAATTCGTCTTTAATATTATTATCAGCATCTTCGCTAGGTGCATATGCTCCTATTATTACTATGTTGTGTCCGTTTTTCTCAATTTCTAGTGTTATTATTTGTTCATCTATTTCTTCCCACGTTCTTATGTTATTTTTGTATTTTTTGTGTATAGCTATTGATACTCCCCGTTTTGCTCGTTTGCTTTTGCACACTCCGCTGTAGAAATGGATATATTCCCCTATTTTTTCATTTCCTTTATCTTTTTTCTTAGTTTCTGTGAGCGTGCATATATCTATTTTCATTCTTAGTAACTCATCAAAAACTTCCTTCTGTTTTGTTCGCAACCCTTGAACATTCCAAGTAGCCAATCTCATAGTCCTTTTCCGTAGCAATTTTCGTAATTTATTTGATCCGTCCGTTTTCCGAGGCAAGCAATCGAAACTTTTAGCAAAAATATATTTTTCCGAATGACGAGCTGCTAACCCGACGATTCAACCCCCATCCTGGAGGGCCAGGGACTCTTCTGTAGGGGTTACCATACCTTAGCCGATTTGTTCCAGTTTTTAGGCGCCGGAAATTCGCCTTCACCCTCCTCCGTTCGCTACATTACTCACATCCATTGTAAGCACTGCATTGCCCAGGGCACACGACGTGGACGTGGAGGTAGAATTTGTTGGTAAGTCTTGGTTAGACTTGAAATTTAAAATACGATTTTTTATTAAGCGAGAATGTCAAAAGTTGATATGATATGTCATTCTATTCAGAATGTCATTTTCGAATCAAGTAAAAAAATACCGAGGGTGCCAATTAAAAATAAAAACTTGTAGTCATTTCCGGTGAAACAGGAAGTGACCAAAAACAATTGAATCTTTTTTTTATATGAAAAAATAAAACAGTTATAGGAGTGAGCCTTTTGAGATGCTCCCAGTTTCCATATATACATCCATACATTCTGCGTTTATAATCAATTCGTGGAAAATTCGCTGTAGTCATGCTGCGCTCCTTGTATAGTATTGACTACTGACTGCTTTATCAAAGTCGAGTTGCAAGACTTTTTAACATCAAAGTAAGTGGGGTGGTATATTTGAACCCCAGGAATAAGTCTATGAGGTTCTTTAGCAAAAAATATGTTGAGAATCGTGCATTTTCTTTTAAATTTTCCTGTATATTTTATAACATTTTTTAAAAGTGTCTGTTCACCGCAAATTTTCCCACGGTATAATTTCTCAATCTCTGATATTATCATGGTCACGGCACAAAAATGGATGCAAATGCAGAAAAAAATCCGGTGGTTCTGATTTTTTTTTAATTTTCATACTTGATTAATTCGGTTATTTTGGACTTATCTAAAAAACGGCAAAGAGAAAATATGGTTCTTTTATCGAGATCTACTATCCCATACCAAAACATTTGGACTTATTTAAGAGACTCTGTATATTCCTTCAAAAAAACGTGTGTTTCACAAACTCCATTTCCATCTTACTGTCAATAGTTTGAAAAAGTGTAAAAATACGGATACAGAAACAAATACAGGCAAAACAAATGAAATAGAAAACGATAACTACAGAGGCAAGATCGGCAGCTAAGAGAAAAAACAGAAAAATTAATAGGCCGGGGTATACAAAGAGCTTATTTTTATATTATAAATGCTTAGTTGAGCTTCTAAATATATTTCTGACATATTATACCAGTTGTTTAGAAGTTACTTAAGCATAAATATGGTCAGAGAGAAGTAATTTTTAAGTCTATATCACCTTTATTTATTCTGTATCTGATCTAAATCGTCTTAATAGATTTTTCACTCTTGCTTCGGGAATAAGTTCTTCAAGAAAAAACTATTCTTGTATAGTTTTTATTTTTATTATTTATAGCTAGTTGTTTAGGATTAGGATATTTTACCACTTTTTCTTGTCTATTTGTATTCTGCCTAGACTGTGACAACTTTATTAATAAAGTTTTATAAAGAAACAATACCTAAAAATAAGCTCTTTGAATAACTAAACCAAAATAAATAAATAAAAGGAAAAATATCTAAAAAATCATTACATATATAATATCATGAGATTTATTCTTGTGCAACACAAACCGAATAAACTACATTCCCTATTTGAATAAAAATAATTCAATTCATAAACACGCTATATATTCAATCTCTTGGGTTGGAAATAATCATTAAATTAAAACCACAATTAAAGCAAAAATTCCGTATCCGAGCCATACTAATTAAAATAAATTACAGTGGTCTTAAATTTAATTTTTCTAGAAAAAACTATACAAAAATTACAGGTCGATATAGTTAAATTTACGATCACAGCGAGGAAGGGGTTACATTTATTTACATTTTTGTCGTTTTTAAACCTAGATCATATTCATTGTAGAAAGGCCTACCTCATTAAAAATATAAACAACAAAGATAATCCAGTAAAATTGTATCGCCGTATAGAGAGTGAAAATGGCTTCCAACTACTTGGGTGCTACGAGGCCGTCCAACTCGGTTTTGATAAAATAGTTGGTATCATACCATATTACTACCTGGTTGACGTCATGCGCGCGGAGAACTGATTTGCGATCCTCAAGGATCTTACCTTTCGTTTATTGTATCATGATAGCATACAAACAGCGTAAAAGTGAGACGCGTTCATCTATACAGGGTGCTACAAATTCGAGGTACGAGCATTGGTATCTCGGTAACCGTAATAGATACGAAGATGGTTAAATTGGGGTAAAGTTGCTCCTTGGCATGTTCGCTAAGATGCCCTCAAAAAAGTATTAAAAATTTCAATGATTGCTTAGTTTTTTGGAAAAAACGGATTTTTTTGAAAATCAATTTTTTTTCCTGTCGTTACTTTCTAGAAAATCAAAAAACTAATTGCACATTCTCATAGCCACTTTATTAGGGCTATCTGATGGTATTTTTAGATTTTCAAATTAGCTGATAACTTGTGAGATACAGAGGCCAACTTCATTTTTTTAAATACAGACCTGCATTTTTTATTTCAGGTTTTGAAAGAACTCGGTCTCCTGAGTACAATTATATGCCACACTTGATACTTTTTTTTTGTTTTGGGTACCTTAACAGTAACAAAATTATTTAACTGTTATTTAAAATAATTTGAAGTCCAACTCTGGTTTTTTAATTTATTTAATCTGATTATTAGTATTTAACACAACAATATTGATCAGCGCTATTAACATTGAATAAGGAAAATCGAATTGGAAGATTCAAATAATTAATATCCAGGTCAGCAATTTAAAGATATCTATTATTTTTAACTTTTTTTATTGCGAATTTGAAATCTCAGTGTACGATCTAATAATATGCATAATATTAATCGTAGTTATTATAAATAAATCAACTTCCACAAACTAGTTTCTAATGCTCTGCCATGTTCGAAAGGGTTACCACCCTCCATAATGCACACATTTGTTTTTCGTTCAATATTATTTATAGTTCTTTGAACAGATCTTCTTCTTATACTTCCGAATGCATTTTGTACTCTTTAATTGTTTTTTTATTACTCGTTAATTGTTTTTGTACTCTTAATGTTGAAATGTATTGATTTTAAATGTCCAAAACAATTTTTATTGATTTTCCTTATTCAATGTTAATTAGCGCTAATCAATATTGTTGTGATGATTATAATCAGATTAAATAAATTAAAAAACCCGAGCCGGATTTGAAATTATTTTAAATAACAATTAAATATTTTTGTTTTTGTTAAGGTACCCAAAACAAAAAAAAAGTATCAAGTGTGGCATATCATTGTACTCAGAAGACCGAGTTATTTAATAACCTGAAATAAAAAATACAGGTCCGTATATATAATAAAATTATATTAAAAAAAATAAGTTGGCTTCTGTATCTCACAAATTATGAGCTAATTTGAAAATCTAAAAATACCACCAGATAACCCTAATAAAGTGGCTATGAGAATGTGCAATGAGTTTTTTGATTTTCTAAAAAGCAACGACAGGAAAAAATAAAATTGATTTTCAAAAAAATCCGTTTTTTCCAAAAAAACTCAGTAATCCTTGAAATTTTTAAAACTTTTTTGATGGTATCTTGGTGAACAAAGCACAACTTTGCCCCAATTTAACCATGTTCGTATCTATTACGGTTACTGAGATACCAATGCTCGTACCTCGAATTTGTAGCACCCTGTGTAGGTATATTTATAATGGCAGCATCCGGTTGACTTGGTTCAAGTACACTTGGACCATGTCAACCAGGCTTAAAGCCTTTTATTTATGAGTTTGAGCAAGTCGCGTCCTAGGAATAAAGATAAATTGGAAATATTGAATATAAAAAATGTTAATTTGGAAAAAATGTTATATTAAAGAATCTCATTGTTGAAGGGTTTACGATTGCATGACAACCCATCTCTTCAAGAAGGCCTTCGAGGAGCAACAACATTTCGATGTGTCTTTGTTCTTGATCCATGGTTTGCTGGATCTTCTAATGTTGGTATAAATAAATGGAGGTAAAATTTACTTGCTATATATTTATTACTTATAATATATTTTTTACAGTGTCCAATTTTTTTTATATTCGTTTTCATTCTTATATAAATCTTGTCATAGATTCTTCTACTGGAAACGTTTAAACCTTTATTAAAAATAAAGTTAATGGAATTCCAAAATCAATCTTTTATTGGCTTGTGTAGTAATCAGCGGATATCAGAAAAAAAAACTGAACATATTATACACGGTGGTTCGAATTATATTCGGGAAACTTCGGCTGCATATTTTGCAGATAAAATTAAGTAAAAAAGTTCGTATAAATTTCTGCCCTAAAATGCTTCGTTTATGAGATACAGGGTGTAGAAGTTTCATTTTTATTTTGATATTGTTTCAAAATAACTTAACCAAACCAAACCAAACCAAACCAAATCAAACCAAACTTTTTATTTTTTCTTAAATAATCATAAATTTTTCTCGAAAAAATGATGATAAAACGGTTACTGTTGAACCTTTGGCACAAAGTAATTCCAGATTTATTATTTCAGTCTAATAACTATCTAGTAAACATGTTTAATTTTTGTCAATAATGACATGTATTGATTATTTCGTTTCCCAAATAAATAAAAAATATCAAAGTTGTATTTTTTTAAATGGAACACCCTGTATATTATTACATTTTTAGTTTCTACGATTAAAATATAGATAAATTTGATTAAGGTTTATTATACTTAAACCTTACCGTTTTTGAAATATTTTCAATTTTGTGAAATTGCAATAAAAATTTTAAAGCTTCATTTCTCCAAGGGTATCAATGTTTTTAATACTAAATATTTAATGAAGTTTATTTATTGATCAGTTATTGTGTTGCAATAATAAAAATAATACTACCTTATACAGAGTGTCTAAAAATTTATTTTAAATAATTATTAACTTCAAACGGCAATAACTTCTTTTAATTTAAATGGAATGCCCTGTATATTTAGGAGAATCAGATGCACAATTAAATTGTCTATCAAATTGTATTATGCCATTTTTTATCTATCCCTTCAAGTTTTCGTAGAAAATGCATTTTCTTATAATTTAGACTTCATTTATCAATATATCCATGGAATATTGACATTTTAGATTGTTTTTAAAGCAGCAAATGTACAAAATGTACAGACTAGTAATATTATCGTTTTTAGCAAAACGATAATATTACTAGCCCATTTGTATGCAAAAAGAAAACTATTTAAATCTTTATCAAAGAGTATACCATTAATTAAATATAACACCATTATTTCCGCCCATATACTAATTAATTACATACTTAATTGTGTTCGTTAATAAATTATTATAAATAAATGTGGATTTGAGTCAGAAATCAATATAATAATAAGTTATCAAATTAAAGTCTCTGTTGTTATAAATAAGTATTTATGAAAAATGAAATTTCATTTTTAAGGTGTTACTTTTTATCACACTGTCTAATGCCCATACAAAATTCAGTTTTTTAGTATTTGTAGCAATTATTATTAATCAACGCAAACAGTCAGTTAATGTAGTTTGAATACTGGAATCATATTAATTGGTCCTCTTTAACAAATATTTAAACAGTTTTTTTTATTTTTAATGAAATAAACGAATTATATCGACAATATTAGTATCTGTACTCTTTAAAAATTTGGTACATCTTCAAAAATAATCTAAAATATCAATAGTCCATGGGTATATTGATAAATAAGTTCTAAATTACAAGAAAATGCATTTTCTACGGAAACTTAAAGAGATATGTAAAAATGGTATAATATAATTTGATAGACAATTAAACTGTGCATCTGATTCTCGTAAAATATACAGGGTGTTCCATTTAAATTAAACAAGTTATTGCCGTTTGAAGCTAATAATTATTTATTTAAAATAAATTTTTAGACACTTTGTATAAGGTAGTATTATTTTTATTATTGCAACACAATAACTGATCAGTAAATAAACTTCAGTAAATATTTAGTATTAAAAACTTTGATACCCTTGGAGAAATGAAGCCTTCAAATTTTTACTGCAATTTCACAAAATTGAAAATATTTCAAAACGGTAAGGTTTAAGTATAATAAACCTTAATTAAATTCTACCTTTATTTTAATCGTAGAAACTAAAAAATGTAATAATATACAGGTGTTCCATTTAAAAAAATACAACTTTGATATTTTTTACTTATTTGGGACACTCTGTATCTTGTAAAATTATTTTTAAATTGTACCTCTAATAGTCCTTCATCGAACCCAAAACTTACAATTTGTAAAAATCTCATCGTTTAGCTACAATACTCCGTGTCGTATGTGGTGAACAACCCTGTATATTAATTAATAGAATTTTAAAATCCACGTTAAATTCTAAATAGTTTGTATGTAGGTATTTGTTTGTTTGTATGTCAACAATGACATGTATTCTAAATAGTTTGTGTTTGTATGTATTTGTTTTTTTTAGTTTCATTTTTATTTCGATTTTTTCCAAATAATTTTTCGAAGTATCGGCAATATTTGGATGAAAATTGGTGTTTAGGAGTTTTTTGAATGAGAAATTTGATTTTGATATGTTTTTATTATAACTCCTACTTACAGAGGGCGCTGCATATCTTCTAACTGTTTCTAGAGTAATAAATTACCGTCCGTACCTGTATAAACGTATTGAGTAAAAAATATACATTTACGACGTTTTTTATGTAAAAAAAGTATCTTGATAAAAATCGCTACCAGTAATGGTTCTCGAGATATTTTGAATCGAAATTATCAATACCTGTCATCATTGACATAAATTTAATATGTTGACTAAATAGTTATTAGACTGAAATCATAAATTTGAAATCTTTTGTGCCAAAAGTTCAAGAGAAACTGTTTAATCATCATTTTTTCGCAGAAAAATTTATGATTAATTTAAAAAAATAAAAATTTATTATTTCAGTCAAATAACTATAATACTCTGTGCTTACTACTATATACTGGTGTGCTTATTTTTTGTCAACAATGACATGTATTGACTATTTCCATTCTAAATATCTTGAGAAAGGTTGCTCGTAGCGATTTTTACCAAGAAGCATTTTTTACTTAAAAAGTCAGGGAAATGTATATTTTTTTAGTCAGTAGTTTTATATAGGTACGGACGAAAAGTTATTACTCGTCAAAACAGTCAAGACGCATGTAGGTGGCGTCTCCTACAAATAGGAGTCATTTTGACATCAAAATCACATTTTTCGTGTCACAAAACTCCCAGACACCAATTTTCATTGAAATATTGACGTTACTTCAGAAATTATTTGAAAAAAATCGAAATAAAAATGAAACTTCTACACCCTGTATCGAAACTAAGCATTTTAGGACATACATTTATACGAACATTTTTACTTATTTTTATCTGCAGAATATGCTGCTGAAGTTTCCGGAATACAATTCGGACAACGCTGTATATTAATTAAAAATATAGTTTATTTTTAATTAATTTTTAATTTTAATTGTATGTCATATATTTGTAGAACAGAACGGAATTGTGTCGACACTGAAAAATATTTAATTTAATAAAATTGTGTATTTATTAAAATTGTGATGCCTTTCTTTTCGAAAAAGGAATATTTTGCTTAAATTATTATAGCTTGTATATTATACAGGATTCTTAGATAATTATAATAACAAATAGAATAAAAAGTATACAGTGGGAGTCTTAAATAAGTACATATATTTTTAGAGCAAATATTTTATTCGCAATTTTTTTTTATTTTAGAATTCTTTGAAGAAAATGTTTTAATATTAAGTTAAGAAATATTGTTACGTTTTTTTCGTCGGTTCCGTGTGGATAGAAAGTCACAATTTATTTAAACACTATTTATTTACACTAATTAACAAAAACCATAACGATAAAAGACTTAAAGAACTATTTACAAACGATTTACAATTATTTATTTAGAAAGAATTTATTTTGAATTTCGCGCGTCAACTGTACTCGTTTTATTTATATCTGCCCTCTCTAAGCCACAGCGGCCGGCTTTTATACCCACAGCTAAAGATTTCTAGAATAGTCCATAGGTCGTTAGGTGCATAGAGAAGGTTTCGATTGTTCTCGTATGTACTACATACTTCATTCCAGTGGAACTCGATTTTTCTCAAACGTCCGAATGAATCATTACGGTGTCTATTCTTTAATGCGATGTTAAGGTCAACTGAGGGCGGGACATATATAGTTAGGTTAGGTCGAGTCTACACGGGTCCGCAACACTGCCCCCTTCTTAGGTACATGCTCGTCCCGAGATGTACACGGTGAATGAAGGTATTTGCAAAGCTGGCCCCTGGTATATTCAGAAGTCTGGTAGAAATAGCAGTCTACAGTTTTCTCTCCTGATCTCAGCTTTGGATTGTAGCAGCAAACGAGGATCTCGATTCCCGTAAATCTAAACAAGACTTCAATCATGTTCCGGATTGTACGCCAACTCAAACCATCGAGTCCACACACCAGCTTCGGAATGGCTAATCGTGCAATGTTGTTGTTTAGCAGGGCTTCTCTCAGTTCAATCAGGGTCTTCCATAGATTGAGATAAGTCGGCTTACTCGGGGACCATTCCTTGGTAACTAGGTAGAAGATGTGTCTTGCTTTCCCATGCGCATGGTCGGTTAGCCTCAAGACGCTTCCAACCTCTGGATCCTGTCGGCGTAGTTCTCCAACACGCCCAAACTTCTCATTGAATGTCGCAGCGATTCCTCTAGACATTCGCAAATCTCGGGCCACACAGTGAGCGAGCGAATAGTCAGGAGGCACGGAAAAGAGGTCTCGTTGTTCTTCTTTGGTCACACCATAGCGAGCCTTCTCACTGCTGTTGTATCGGGCCATGAAGCCGTCAAAGGACATCTCCGAATCAGGGGGATCAAAGCTGCAGGTTCTCACGGTCCCAGCACGATCTTCTATTTCGCCTTGGTAGGGGCTCAAACGGTTGAAATGGACTATCCTGGGTTTTCCTTTTGGCAATTTCCTGATACGGTATACGACGTCATTAATC